AATTGTGTCGTTATGTGAAACATTATTAATTAGCAATACATTTCAATGTAGTAACTTGCTAAACTGTCACAAAATTGGCGATATAAATCGCAGAAATATGACATAACTCTACATTTGGTAGGTAAAGAAACTGATTCAAAATACATTCATAGATTTCTTATCACGAATTAATTGTGAGCTATCAACTTTGTTTAAACCTCCAAAATGTGAAAATCAAAAAAACGTTTTTATTGAAATGAGCACGAGCTCTTAATTATGCTAATGAACATTGGCAAAGAAAATAGACGGCCGACCCTTAATCTTTTCCGTGTTCAACATTTTGCTGGATGATCGGAAATTCCGCTTGAGCCGCAACGAGTGCTCCATCTTCGAGAACTCTTTGCAATGCCTTAAACTGTAACTAATTGCTGTTGTTTCTTCAGTTTTTAAGGAAGGACACGTAATGCGTGCGAGTTGGAGATATAGTAAGAGATAGCAGCGGCTCTGCAAATTACACGACTTTACTCTTATCTGGATAAACGAACTTTTTAGCGGAAGAAGGAAATTCTGGTAGTAGGGTAGGAGTGAAAACTAGACCCCCTCTGAGTGTTGGAAGCCACTGTTTCAACATGGGTGCTAATGTTGGCAAAATATGTAGTCAGGGGTAGTACAAGAAAAGAACTGTCGAACAACTGCATTTTCTTTAACAGTTGTCGCGGAAGATATGGATTTTCCAGAAAGATATTTAAAATGATGGTCAGAAAGAGGGGAAAAATTACCCTAGTTCACAACATCTATTGTTCCTGATCGCCAATGAAGTTGGTTTACTTTCCAATCCACTCGCGTTTTGTTGCACAGTAAACTTTTTCATCAAGGTTATTTCTCTTGGTATCGCCTTAGTATGAAGAACCTTAAGAAAGTACGTATATGATTCAGGTTCTTAGTTTTTTCATATATGTTGTCTAATGCCTTAGGCTTTGGAAATATGGGCATTGCCCACCCCAACATATATTGTTAAGTTGCACATTTTCAGATTTTGCACAGAATTGGCGCTCAACACTGTCAACAGAATTTTACTCTCATACCATCACCCCTTACAAGTACGGTCTCAGTTATATTTCTCTGTTACTTATGTCATTCCCTGGCTGCACGAATATGAGAACTGATGACGCGAATTGCGATAATTTTACCGGTCATTTACCGAAGGCACATTTACAAGCTACGATTGCGGCATGGCAAACTGAGAATTTTCGCCTTTTGAAAATGAATGTCGAGTACTCGAGTTAGATTCAGCCAGCTTGATTTAGGAAGCCAAATAAAAAGTCATAATGTAAAGTCACCATCTAGATCTCCATGTTATTTTCTTTACCCACTCAACCAGTTTAGGGGCAGAGGGCATCAGTTAATGCCATTGAAGTGCCTATGACCAGAAAGTCTTAGAGTAGAGAATCATGACGGTCGCTGGAACTTCGACAGAAGCTTCTTAGCAAGATTGAATTCAGTCGTTATCTTGAGGAAAATTCTCGGGGACGGCTGGTCTGATCGGTAGTTTTCCGCGGTTTCTTCGACCCTAACCAGACAATTTCTGGAGCAGGACACTGCAGGATACTAACAAATGGACCGCGCGATCTTTCCTTGCTCTTCTTTGCCCTATCTTTATCCCTTACTGACACACATTTACACTTACATGCACTACACTACTACACATTCCAGAAGACCAGTTGGGAGCTTAGAGTTTGTCCCGACGGGGACCATGCCCCACTGGGTTGAGATATTTGGTTGAGAAAAATCCGTAAACCGACGGTTAGGTCGGCTCCGGATCTCTACTTCCAGTGAGGCAAGATCACTACTATCTCCCGCGATAAAAAACATTCACTACACATACGGGACTAATGACCGTAGCAATTCATGCGTCCGGAATATGTGCAATCAATCAATCAATTAATTAATCAATGCTATACCTCTATTTTCGATAGCTACTGCTCGAAGTACCTATGCTACCGCCATCTTCTGTGAGCCTCTGTGGAGACCTCTTCGCTTTGCTGGAGACGCGTTTATTAGTTCCGATCGTTAGTTCTGGAAACGCGGCGTAGCCGGAGTGCGCGCCCTTCTCCCGTAGCCACCAGTTGGGAATCTCGACGGCATAAGACATCCTTTCCGGTTCTGGCGGAGGCGGCAGCAGCAACGGCAACGGGGCTCCTGCCTTCGGGACTCGGCGAGGGCACGGCCGGGAGGAGAGTGCGCAGGGGGCGTCATCCTTCCCGGTTCTCGCGGAAAGAGACGACTAATAACGCAGAGCGAGCGTTCGCGCGTTTGGCAGCCGCAGGCACCGGTGGGCGGGGCGCGGAGGCGGCAGCGGAGGCGGGGCGGGGGAAGAGGGGAAGGGGAGGGCGCATCGACGTGTCAACTTCGCGCGACGGCGCGGCGGCGGCAGCAGCGGCAACGAAGACTGTTCCGTTCCTGAGTTAATATTGTTTGGAAGACACGACTCCCGCGGGCGGGCCACTCCAAGACGCTGTTGCCGGCTTGCAGAGGGAAAGGACAGAGAAAGGAGATAAGGCTGGCAGAAGAAGACGGAGAAACCGCGAGATGGGCGAGGGCATAGAGAGAATGAGATGGTGGTAACCTCCACGATTCCGAAGAAGCTAGTTATGCGAATAGCACAGCGCACATAATGCAAAGGGGGCAAATACGAGAGTGTGCTTGAGACGGCAGAGAAGGAGGCGACAGAGGAGTCGGCGAGGGCATTGCGTTGGAACGGGATCAGAAGCAACGGCGCGGCGGCGCTGCGCCATGAAGGGAATGCGCTAGGAATAGGAAGCCGCATAGTGCGAAGTGGCGGCGAAATCGACGGAAGCACTGGCGCGCGAGGACCAGGGGCGCCGGCCTCGTTGCTCATCGGGGAAGCGGATAGCGCCGCAGCCTCCCCACTCCCTTTTATTGCCCCATAATCCGACCTGAGGACCCTGCGGCGCCTCTCTTTTGTTATTCCACCTCGTGACGCACGGAGTGGACCCCGTCTTGCTTCTCCCCACTCACTTCTCGCCTCTCGCCTCTCCTCTCTCACTTCTCGCCTCTCGTCTCTTGTCTCTCACCTCTCACTTTTCGCCTCTCGTCTCTTGTCGTTCTTTCGCCTCTCGTCTCTTGTCGTTCTTTCGCCTTTCGTCTCTTGTCGTTCTTTCGCCGCTCGCCACTGAATGCGTCCGTCCGTATGTTTATCATGTATAATATCTTTTCTCCTGCCAGATACTCGGATCTTTCTGCGTCTTCTTGTTTCCCGTGGAAGTTAATTGCTCCTTTCTAGGCCCTTCATCTATGTTTAAAAATTCAAAAGAGTGTGAAAATTTCAAGAAATCTGTGCTTGTTAACAGACATGTCAATACTATTTTTTACCTTTCTAATGTTCATAGAAATATGAATTTTTCCACTTTAGTAGAACATTTCTTATTTGAGTAGTACAATGAAATATAAAATATTAGAATCATGTATTCACGCATGTGTTGTGTACATATTTGCGATATATTCAAGTACTTTGTTATGGATGTGAAAAGTTTTTTTTCATGAATGACATGCATTGTATTGCTGTGAATAGTGTTATCGACGGATAAATAAAGCTGAAGACTTGAATATGTGTTGAAAGTGGTAGACCTGCTGTTTATTGCAATAAAATTCAGTATGTTTGTTTTTGAGCAAGAATATTGCTTGTAATTAATTTCAAGCAATTTTATAAAGCTTAACTGTCAATGATTATAATACTCCCCACAAACATATATGTATATTGGCTGCGATGTGTAATTTTTTTGAACTATGCGATGTATATAAAGTTTAAAAAAATTCCGATAATTTCTTTTGAGCAAACTACAAATGGTACCTCTTTTTTGGAGATTGTATTCTGACTTCCCCGCTTCCTCCGCTCTTAAACTAACAAGATTAGTGATCTGTCCAGGTTTGGTACAGATAGTTGCATATCATTTTATACGTACATTGTGTCTTTAAAACCCGTCTCCTATCCCTTCGTAGATATTGAGCGTATTAAAGTAACCCTCCGCTCACCTTTCGTATTTTTGTCTCGTCACTTTACAGTCAGTGGCTTTTATCTCATCGGTCAGGGGCTCGGTGTCGCTAGTAACCGGGTTTTCCAAACGGTCACCCGTCCACGTATCAGTTTGTCTCTTGTTGCTTAACTTCCGTGCCTTCATGGAGTGCAGTTAAGTAATTCGGCTAGCAACGTCAGCTCTAAAGTACTTACGTACTGATCTCTGTTCTCGCCAACATTACATCATATCTGTATAGGCACATTTATAGATATTTTAGTTTTTCAAATAGTGTAATAAAGAATTTATTATTGAATATCAGGGTTTGAAAATTAGAATTTGGGTAATAACCTCCACCTTGTAATCAAATTGAACGACACAGTGAACATTTAAAAATAATTAACACACTCTGAAATCATGAAACATACACAATTTCCCTAAAATATACACAATTTCCCTAATAAAAATGATTGTTTATGCTTTGAAACACTAAAAACCAAATTGTAATACTTGAAAGATTGTGGGGTTACATATCTACCCAAAGGAACAAAACTCTTGCAAAAATTTCGCACATTTGTAAAATAAAAGGATACTGAAATACCATAATTTTAAATTTATTCATTTTTAAAAGACAATTTAAAGTTTTAAATGAAGTATTTCGATCAGGATCAGCTTAACGCAATATTTTTTTAAATAATTTGCTCATTATTTTGAATAAACATTAGGGACGCACCAATAGCGAAATAATTTGGATTCTCCGCGTCTCGCATGGGTGGGAAACGCATCGAAAACTGAAGATCACAGCCATTCCCATCTACGCCTCTTAAGAAAAAGCGACTCGAGATTTCCGAGAAAGAGTACCATACGCACTCTATATTCCATTGTCACCATGAACATTCTAAAATCCTATTCCTTCCCGTTTTCATTTTCTCAACCCCTCCTGTTCTGTCACGTCAGCACACTTTGCCTCACTTTCTTGTCCTGCAGCCCGGCAGCCGTACCAGTGTTGCCTTCAGCTATACGCGGCCGTTAACCGGAATCCCCTTCCTGTGCGGCGTCTAGAGCAGTCTCCTCCTGCCCTGTGGAAGCAGGCGCCTTGCCCTTTGCTTTCCTCCGGCCCTGACTGGCCCCCTGCGCCCCCGCCGCGCCACCCCCTCTTCGGCTGCCGCGTGCGGACCATTCCGTCGCCGGTCGCGCCCACAACTTCGGCGAACCCCTTCCCTCTTCCCTCCGTCTCGCACGGTAGACGTGGATCAAGCCAATTACCGACTCGCATCCGCCCTAGCTCAAAGCCAACCGAAGGAGTTGTCGGTGTCTTGTCTCGTCTCATTCTGTTGGAGGAGCCCCCCCACCCCCTACGTCCCACAAACATAATCTTAGTCATGCTCGATGGAGCTCAATTGGATACTATTGCAGCCCGGCGAATTATTAGGGCTGCACGACAGACAAAGAGGTGTATAAATGCTCCCGTGTTTTTGTTCTGTTTACAGTAGAATTGTCCACGATTTCCGTATTTTTGATGTATTTTTAGCGTTGTTTACATTTGGCGCTATTGCTTCGAAATAAATGTGTACAACAATCGTTATTGTATATGTCCGAGAATTTGAAGATTGTCATAAAATCCTGAATATAAGAGGAAGATACCCAAACCGATAATAAATGGGAAGATACGTAAGTAATAGTACGTATTAAAAAAACCTCCATAATTATCATACTCGCTTCAAGCGTATAAAATTAATTTATATGCTATTAATTCAGTTAACTTATTATTATATGCCTTTTAAGAGGTACAGGTTATTGTGACATTTGGCAAACCGGAACCTTTTTGGTTACTGTATAATACAGTATTAAAGGGGAGAATCTGTAAATTAACAATGAAATGAAAACAATTTATATTTTTTATTTGAAATACGAGGGGATGATTTTTATTTATTATCTCATTTGTTTCCAGAAGTTCTCGATACACCAATTTTTCGTGATCGCCTTTATTTTAAATGTGTTGTATACTTTACATTAACCCAGTCTTTACTCTTCATTTTCGTCTCTAAGGACATCCTCCGTTTGGAAAAATCAACCATATCTCGTGCTTTCAATTTCTCGTAATACTCATGAACACTTCATGTTATTTCGTGTTTCGAACAGAAAACAGAATGACTGTGATAATCCAAACGCCATTTCACTACCTTCACATCGTTTCATGAATATACTATAAAACGTGAAAGCAAATGTTGAAACCTTTCCAAGAATGATAGTTTATTCATTTACTTTGTGAAAGACGTCTAAAAACGGAAACACAAATAATTTCTGTTGGTATACTACAAACACTTTCTAAAAGGAAAAGAGCAGTCTGAGAGAATCCGGCCTCAATGTACGAGCAACGTTTTACATAATAAATCCGACCGCTAACCTTGTGGGATTTTCTTAGCGATTCAACGTTGTCAGGAACGTGTATGAAGTCGACATAGGGAAGTAACGGATATAAGTAGGAAGCCCTTCCAAAAATGCAAGGGGCTTGTTGTCTCCCTGTACGTAATTCTTAACACATCTTTCGGGTGGTTACATTGAAACAACGTTCAGTATCTGAATCAGTTCATTTTATCTGAATCGTAATACTTTGGAACTACGGCAAAAGTACTACGTACGCAATGTTTGAACTAGATTTCGTATATTTAATGTTTTTGCAGTGATTATGCTACATCATCGAACAAATGTAAATGGTCAGAACGTTTCAATACAAACGTAAAACTCGATTTAGTTATTATTGTTTGAAATAATTGATTTTTTCAAATATATACTCTAATGAACTCGAGACTCTTACAATAGCGCAGTTGGGCTTCGATATGTATGTATTTTCCTATTCGTTTTATGGCCTTTAAACTTACCGTGCTCATAAAAATATAAAATTATTTCTTCCCCAAATGTTATATCAGATGAAAATACATATCTTCTTGACAGTAAATAAGTCGATCGATAGCATAGAAGAATATTTCAGACTAATGTTTTGGCGTTACGATTGTCAAAAAAACGTGTTTGACGACTGAAAATTTCGTATTTCGTAGAAGTTAATGTAATGTTTTTTCTTATGTTTCATAAAGAAGCTGCTTTGGACAGTGACCATATAGAGGACGACCCATCTAGTATTGAGGTAAGTAATTTCATCATATTCCTATTAATTTTTAGAGATTTTTCTTTCTTAATTCCATTACCGACAGTTGGATGCTGATCGATTGAAAGCAAACTCGAAATATGGATTGTTCATCTCATTCGTCTTAAATCGGGAAGTCGGGTCATGCAATTCGCGAAGTCAGCGGCGAGCAATTTGCATGACTTTCTCTGCTCCGCGGGGCGCAGTCGCCTCCGCTCGGATTCCCGGCCGCTTTGCTCGAGGAGCGCGCCACGTTTCCGTCCCGGAGGTGAGCCGGATGTTTC